GGCATATCCTTAGCGTTTTACTTATCTCTTTTCTACATGCCTTATCCACTATCCTTTGGCATGTTGGTATGCATTCTCCAACTTAAAGGACGTCCCATTATATTGGTAGTTAACTTGCTTGATCATGAATGTCGTTTCCTTTCTATTAGGTTTGAACTTGACAAATCCGACTGTATCTAGAGTAAATGCTCATGAATGCTTAGTTGAGGTCAATGCAATTGACATATCTATTCAATTGTATATGTCAGTGACTATACAACTCAGTCACGTCGACTTCGCTTTTCGATAGATGGCGTCAAAAATAAAGTCGTTTCTATTTTCGTTTTTGACAAAGACACAAAGCAAACAAAAAAATTAGTGTTCATCTCACATGATTTTATTTTTGAACAACGATCAAAATTTGTGTTTTCTTTTTCCAATAACTAAAAAGAAATTGGACATAAAATCTACCTTGTACTTCACATAAAATCTAAAAACACTAATTCCATTTTACAAACTTTTTAGTTTTTAAAGAAATTTAACACACACTTTTAATCTACATAAATTAATTATTTTATTGATAAGAGTGACCAAAGATTTTTAATCTACATAAACTTAATTATTTTATTGATAAGAGTGGTAAGAGTGATAAGGTGAGCGTAATTTAATTTGTTATGTGAAGCTTAAACAAAGTTAGTTAAGCTAAGGTTTGTTTATATTTATTGAGAAAAAAAGTTTCCGTTCTCTATCTCTCTCACCGAGTCTTCCGTCTCCCCCAAGTTCTTTCTCTTGCATATTTCGAAAACCCTTTGATTCATTCTTTTTCTTCTTTCCCTTATCGAAATTGAACTCCTTCACAATATTCAGCAGAAAAAATAGCATATATTCTTCAAATTCAAATAATAAAAACAAAATTAGCAATTTTATTTATTTTAAATAAATAAAAAGAAAAAAAAATGTCTTGGCTCTTCAAGTCCAACCACCCTAACCCAGAATCTTCCAATCTTCACCCCGCCGTCATCAATTCCTCTCCGCCTCCGCTCTCCACCGCCGTCGATCACGGCGTCAAGGAAGACCTATCAATTATTTTCCGCGGCGTCGCCAACTTCCTCGCTCCACCTCCTTCATCTTCTTCTTCTTCTTCTCCCCCCTCTTCCTCCGGTGAGTCCACCGCATCACCTTCGAAAACTCTCACTGGAATCCGGAACGATCTCGTGGAGATCGGAGGAAGTTTCCGAAGCTCACTCTCACTTCTCTCCCCGAGAAAAGCCGTTACCGGAATCTCTAAGTTAGCTTCTCAATTGTTGCTCCCCGAGCGCGATCATGAAGAGGCTGACGGTGGCGCTGTGCCTGGAGCGACGGAGGATGTTGTTCGTTTCGTGAAGGAAATTTCTACTCGGCCGGAGTGTTGGACTGAATTCCCCTTTCCACTCCATAATGGTACTTCAACTTTGCATCCTTATTCTTTGATATTTGTTCTGATTATCTGATTATGGAAAAGATTGTGATTGTTTTTAATTGCTGGATTTTTTTTAAGCCGAGTTATTTCTTTATGCAGAAATATGAAATTGATATTGCTTATTGAATTTGTTCAAATGTAACTAATGATTTAACTTAGTGAAAATGATGAATGCTAGTGCTTTCAGAGTTTGTTGAAGTAATAAATTGGTTTGTATATGAAATCATTCTGTGCCGATAATGATAGGCTTATCTGGTAAACATAAAGCAATGTGAACAAAAAGGTATTGAGTTCAATTCCTTAAAGATAAAGCAAGGTTAACAAATAAGTCTTGAGTTTAATTCCTTGAAGAAAAAGCAATGTTAAGAAAAAGGTCTTGAGTTCAATTCCTACATGTAATAATTTGTTGGTGGTAGGTAATCTATTAGTGCACCATGACCCTAGAGCAGGGCAACAATCTCCCCTCAGTCTGAACTTTTTCTTGCACCCTTAAAAAAACTACTTTTTTTTTCCTTTTTGGATGTAAAGAGTACACTATTTTTTTTTCTTGGATGCTGGCATGCTGCGATTTGTGGCCCATTTCTGTTTTATGTTAACACAGTAGAACTAGAAGTAAGGGAAGCCCCTTAGACAAGTCTTAGGAAATTTATATTCTTGGGGTTGTTATGCTTGGCATGATAATGGCGGTACATAAGAATGCATGCCTACATGAGACTATCTAAAGAATAAATGGGATGTCAATTTCTTAAATTTTTACTAAGGAGACAGCTTTAATTAATCTCTTTTCTTTGGCATTTTATTCTTGATTATGTATCTTTTGTTATTTAGCTATTAAGCTCTCGGCCAAGTGGTAAGAGTTTGACATTCTAACTTCAAGGGACAAAATTCAAATTCCACCCGGGTCAGTTGTGAAATGATCTTTAGTGGCACTGTTAATAATTATATTTTTTGCTACCCCAATTTTGAGAAAAAAAGCTATTAAGCTCACAACTCACAAGGTTCATATGCAAGTGCTTAACAAATTTTAAAAAGACTTGAAGCTTCGTCTCACTCATTAAACATGTTTCATGGATAACTCTTACTATTGTTTGTTTACTATCATGTGTTGTATCCTTAATGCTATTGCTGCTATATAACAAAATGCAGTTTTATTTGCCAAATTTTAGTACTTCAGAGTTGCACGTCTTTTTTTATTTCCAGCACTGTATTCTTGGATATCAACCTCTTAGAATTATGTTAGGGAAAATTTCTATAAATGACAAATGCAATGCTCGTATCAAATAAATTATTTCCGCTGTGAAGCTAGTTCACACTTCCTGTCAATATAAAGTTCAAAGTGCGTGTGTTTTCTCAGCACTTATACATATTCACATAAAAGAAATGGTTTTAATTCTTGATTCTTTAGATAACATGAATACAATAAAGCAAAAAATGAAGAAAAATGAGTGTTTTTTTGCTTTATTGTATTCACCACCCCAATATATAAGATTGACAGATATTAATATGGAAATTTGATTTCTTTCTCAGCAGATTGCAGCCTTTCCAATTGTCAGAGAGAACATGCACTGGCTATAGAACAACTGGTGCCTGAATTTGTTACACTTAGAATGAACCTTTGCAGTTACATGAATGTGGAAAAGTTTTGGATGATCTATTTTTTGTTAATACTTCCAAGACTTAATCAGCATGACTTCGAGTGCCTATCGACACCAAAGGCAAGCCTTATTTATTCAATATTGTCTTACTTTCAATTGTTTCATATGAATAGCAAGGCCAAGCCTGTGTTAAATACTTAAATTCCTTTGATGTGTATGCAGTCATTAGCTTTTTATCTGAGTTTTATTCATGCATGTCGGTCAGATTAATCATTAATACTCTGAAACATGTTTAATATATTTTTCATTGTTGGTTATTGTGAATTAGAAAATCACAAACTATTGTGAGGTTTGGTGAACATGTGTAATATACATTTGTAATAAAGTTTGTGGCGGCCAGGAGAACACCGCACTATAAGTGAAGTATTGTGGTATGATGTTCATATAACCTTTGCGATATGCTCTTGATGACAAGTTATGCTTAATTTTATTTTTACATGCTTAATTGAAGGGATCCTCTCCTATTTTATTCTTTAAATCAGCTGGTGTTGTTGTATGCGAGTGAAAACTGAATATTAGTGCTGTTATCTGTTGCCAATCTATGCATGGCCTGGTTGTCTTTTTGTCTTTTTGATAAAATATCATAGATCATTGGCAAAAGTTTCTTCTGCACTGTTAGTATCTGTCCTTGTCTATTTCATGGCATTCTCATTTTATGATTTCGTTATATTAAATGTTGTCAAATTGTTTGGTCTATTGCACCGGACACTTGTGTAATTGAAGATGATTTTATAGATAGTTTACTCTATGTTTAGGTGTTTGGATTGGATGGAAACATTTTCTAAGGACTTGTTTGGGAGGGGGTGATTTATAATTAGCTCTCACTTGCTCGGGACGGGAGAGTTTTTAAAACAGAGGGAAATGGTTTGAGGAGTTTTTGGTGGGAGCCTAACATCCTTCCTCCCCTTCCCCTCCCTTTCCCCCCAACCATTTCCTCCCTTTTCTCTTCTAACAAAGTTTAAATGTCTGCTATATCATATATATATTTTTTCTATTTTTATTTTGTTAGATTGTTGAGGCAAGAGATGTTCTCCTACGGAAACTTGAAAAGAGGAAAGATACACATGCTGGAGAATGCCAATCAGGTATTATGGATACACATCAAGAGGGTAGGGAAGACAGTGGAACAGAAAGTATCACATTTGATCAAAACCAAATATTGACAGAAGCCACAAGTGCAATAAAGGGTTTAGAAATTGATGACACGATCAATAGTGAAAAATGGCTGACAGATACAGATATTGATGCTACTTCCTTGACTTCCTGTACAAAGCATCAAGAAGACATCTCATTCAGTGACTTGGAGGAATACGGAAGTTATAGCTCTGATAATAAATTATCAAGCCACGGGGAGGTCTTCAGGGGTTCTTCACCCGAAGGTTCAAGTGGCTGGGTTCAGCTACAAGAAAACAAGAGAGGTGGCCGGCCGAAAGCTATCTGTATGAAAGGTAAAGACTCTGAAGATGAATCAAACGACTGGCTTGCTGTTGACGAGTTTCATTAAATAAAAGGGTTCTCTTTACTTGTAAAGGTACAGCATTTTTTATTTTCCTTTTGGACTGCTCTGTATTTATATTTAGGGGTTGCAAATTCCTATAAATTAAAGCGTTTCTTATGGTATAATTATAATTACAAATTAAGAAGTTTCCTTCACCTGGTCATTACTGATAAGTGATAATGTACTGTCATAGTTGTAAAATAATTTATATTATGATCAGTACTAAACACTTTGCATATTCCACGTTGCGTAACGATTTTCTAAAACATGCTCAAGCCTAGAGTAGTGTCATTGATAAATGTTTGGAACCCAATAAATAAATATTCCATTTTTGGTTGACCTAGTAGTATACAATTATTGGTCAAAAAAGTATTGCAAAAAATAAAAAGAGAGATCATAGCCTGAGAGCTTATCTCCAGCATGAAGTCAACAAAGGACTATGGCACATAAATGCCAGTATAATGTAAAGGACCAGGGCAAAAATAATCATAAGTGTAACCCTGCAAAAACAAGAGACAGAAAAACATTAGAATTAGAAATTCATATAAATAAAGAAGCTCAACCCACAACATTAGATACTGGACACTTACGTTAGCCTAACATTCATCCACCACATGTTATTCTTATATCGACGAGACTGACTTTTGAATCGAATCGAATTGCTGTTCATTGCTGAAGTTTTCTCAACCAGCATTTCCAAACGACCACCTCTTTCCAACACTTTCTCAATGTTATCAATCATAACGGTTCTCACCTAAAATTATCAAACCACAGATGCTATTATATGAAACAATGTCTTTTAAAATAAACAACTACAAATAGATGAATGTGAAGTTAACTAATTACCTGAGTCATTTCACCTTTGAGACGGTTTAATCTGTCAGCATTTGGATCAGTAGAATAATAATCCATCTGTTGGCTAAGAACCCTTGAGAATTCATCATTCATGGTATATGCAGGAGCCGAAACAATTGCGCGTGCATATGTCTTCACAAATCTATTATGAATATCTTCAAGAAACGAAAAAGGAATCCTTCCTGCAATAATTTGAAACACAAGATTCGTTCAAGCGTGAATTAATATCAATAAAGAGAAAAAAAGAGAGAGAGAAGAAATTGAAGCATACTTCCGAATGCTTCTTCAGCCATGCAAAGAACTGTGAGGCCATCAGTTCTTTTGACATGAAAAACATAACGATCATGCGAAAATGAAACATTGCTATCATTGTAATTATCAGTCCCTTGATTAATCTTGTTAAGTATTTGTTTAGCAATCGCACTTGCATTGCTTTGAATAGCGCTAAACTCAGCCAAAACAACCTCTCCCCTAGCAACCATTCCATATAATATCCCCATTGATGATCAAATTATGCAACTTTTGGAGTGAAAGATGAGATTTTTGAAAGTTTAAGGTAAATGGTTGTTATTTTTGTTGTTCGTTGGAGAGAAGATAAAAAGTGTAACGGAATTGGTTTTGGAGAAGGTGCAACAACAACAACAACACCAAAACCAAGACAAGGAAGAAGAGAAACAGAAAATAACCATTTTGATTAGATATGATGTCCTAAAATGGGGTGGTATTGCGTTTGGGGTAAACGACATTTTGGAAATTGAATAGGAAGCTCTACTTTGTAACTTTTTTTATGTTTTGTGTGGCGTTTTTGGTGCCATCATAATTGGAGGAAAGATAAGAAGGGTTGTTGTTTGCTTGAACAACTTCACTATATAAAGAATTGTAAAAAATAAGGTTAATTGTATTTTTGGTCATTTACATTTTATTCGTTCAATCAATTTTGTATACTTTGAATTCAACATTTTTATTCATTTTATGATAATGTAAATATAATAGTTTTTATTTTTAAGAAAAAAGGGTCGAAATAACAAAAAGATACATACAAATTAACCTAAAAATAAAAATTCCAATTTAACTTTGTTTACATATAAAAAATAAAACAATTGTTTTTAATAAAAGAATCATGTTCACCAATATGATATCGGGAGAATCGGTAACACGAATTTTTATTTTCTACTACTTAGAGTATTTTTAATGGGAGTAAACTAAATGGGTAAACTAAGATATTTTTTTGTGAGGCCAAAGTGTTGTGTAGGATTTAAAAAATTTATAGTTGATTTGAATAGTTTTTACTTTAACGATGGTTGTCTGTAAGAAATTAAAACTTGATCCCGCATTTTATATTTTTTATTCAAGTTACTATTAATTTAATTACTTAAATGCTGTTGGAATATTTTATTAATATTAAATAATATTATAATATGTTTCACATTGAATAGTTAACGTTAACTATATAGATAATGAAAACTAAACTTTAATTCACTAAATGCCATGTCAGCTCTACTATAATGCAAATTCTTTATTCCTAACGTAAGCTATACAAAATTTTGGTTCAACAACCATGCGCTAAAGTTGCTCTAACAAACATGTGCCTACGTACGAAGTATATTTTTGGATGAGATATGTTTTAGAACGCACATTTGTTTGCACACATTTCTAAAAAGAGAAATTTGAAAAAACAAAAAATTTAAGTTAAAAAACGAAATGTTAACAATAATGTTATGAATAATATTATTAAAAATAAAAACTATTGAAATTTGTATTAGATAAATTTATTTTTAATTTTTTTTTACAAATAAAATAATTATTTTATAAGAGAGAATACAATTTTAAAATATTTAATCAATCTTTTTTAATAGGCTTTTTTAATCTTTTTCATTTTTTCGGTTTCATATAATTTTTAAGATATGAGAAAACAAAATTTATTAAAATTTTAGTGATTCACTACATAATTAGATCGGTTGTTTCATTTTTTTCCGTATCATATAAGTTCAATGATATAAGAAAACAAATTTTAGTAAATTTTATTGACTCACTTCATATTTAGATGAATAGTTTCATTTTTTCCGTTTCATATAATTTTTATGTGATTAAACTAAGTAAAAATTGTTTATCAAAATACATGGTTTTGTCATCATTAAAAACAGGGAGATTGTTTGAACAAGATTTGATTTTGCATTTTCCCTTTAGTTTTGATGATAACAATGCATTGTTTCTTAGAGAACAATTTTGTACACTAATGATTTTTGTCTAGTGTGTAGCTTTTGCTAAACAAGTTCTGACTCTGAAGCTTTGACGTGTGACGATATCAGACTTTGGATTTAACACACTCTGACTCTGAAGAGATACAAGTGTTTTACAAGATACTGCCAAGTTCTAAAAAGCTCTTAGACAACGGTTCTGAAGAACGTTTATGTTAAAACTTCTGACTGTGACTCTGATTGAAGAGCCTCTGAAGGATTGTCTGCCTTTAAGATTTTACGCTCAAGATATGAAGATTTTGAAGAACAATATGTGAAGACTTTGAAGACCAGGTTCTGAGCAACAATGTCAAGACTCTGAAGACCGAGGTTCTGAAGATTCCCTCTGCTAGTCTCTTGATCCTTCTAAGCATGCTTCAACATCATTTTATCAAAAGCCTTTGAAGATTAGAAGATAAGATCAAAAATTTTTGCATCAGGAAAATAGTACACAGTACAAGATCATCCTTTCCTCCATTACCCTCCATTACACAATATATAAAGGAGACCTGAACGATTGAAGAACTTGCTAATTTCTAATGCCCATGCATGCTAAACGCTCACGCTATTGAACATACACACGTTTTGCTGAAGTAAATATTTCCTATGTATATTCTATGTAAACACACATAGAATTTTTGCTCGTTATTGTGTGAGATATTCTTTGTATTAATATTGTGTTAATCTGCTTTCTTAGAAGCATTATTTGTAAATATAACTTGTAAATCTCAATATTGTTTGAGTAGTTTCATTGAGTGACTAGGTTTAGTCAGATAGACTTAAAAAGATAAAGACGATTTATCTTTGTGGTCTATAATCAGTTTCAGTTATAGTGGTTTAAGTCCTTATTGAGAAGGTAAAATCACATTGGTAGTTGGACTGGATGTAGCTTCGTTAACAGTGAACCAATATAAAAATAACTTATTACTTTTATTGTTTGTGTTTTGCTTGATTGAGTTGGTTCTAAAAAATCCAACTCAAACCCTCTCTTTCTTGTGTTTCTCGCCACCTTCTTTCTTTTTCTAGATGTTCCTAGAGAACCTCCTCACACCGCTCGATGTCCTAGTAGCATCACGAATCTTTCCACTCTTCATCCCTTTATCAATCCTTCTCCAATATTGACCAGATTGGAGAATCCAGACGGTATGTTGCCAATCATTTTCTCAAAGAAAGGAGACTACAGGATATCCATGAACATATCAACTAGCTCTCGTTCATCCAGGGGTGGCTCAACTTGAGCAACTAGCTCTCTCCAGCGTTGGGTATACTCCTTGAAAGATTCTCTATCTTTCTTGGTCATGTTTTGAAGCTGTCTCCTGTCTGGATCCATGTCTGTGTTATATTTGTATTACTTCATGAAAGCCTTTACTAGGTCCTTGCATGATTGAATCTGTCCCATCTTAAGATTCATGTACCATTTATAGCTTATCATTGCAAGAGTGTGACACCATATTCTTACAATACATAACCAGGTGACCCTTTGGACAACTGAATCCTTTATAATTTTCAAAGTATGGGACACTGAATTCCGGAAGAAGGGTCACATTAGGGACCAAACACATATCTATAGCATGAAGACCGAATATGTTATGCCCTTCAACAAATCTCAACCTCTTCTCCAATACCTTATATTTCCCTTCAAATTCATCATTCTCGATTATTACTTCAGGATGGGTACCTTGAGGACCAACAACATGGAACACAAGATGAGGATCCTCAAAGGTACTTTGGTGTGTCAAAAATCTAGCGGGGTACATTGTAGTGACTACCGGAGTTTGCACGAGCTGTTGAATAGAAGGTCCTCAGTTTGTGGTATTTTCAAATGGTGGAGTATAATTTGGGGGAATACCAAAAGGGGGAACTGAACGTCCGACCCTTAAATTTACTGATATCATGCTGTGAATCCTGATGAAATACCATTATCAGTATGGATATTCTATTGTGGTTGATCTTCCTTCTTCATTAACGCCTATAGAGTCTTTATAAGATTTTACCCATTGTACCTTGAGTGAATCAATCTCTTCTCTTATAATCTCCTGACCCTTTTCCAAGTTCTCCACCCTTCTTTATGAATTAACGTGAGTTCCGTAGTGATGTCTGGAAGTCAACTTGATTTGTTAACCTTTTAGATTTTGGGGGATGGAAATAATGGAATGAGTTTCTTGATTTGAAAATGGTTATGTATGCTGATGCGTGAAATTTTGCTTTTTTGATATAAAAAGCAGTTTTTTTTATGAAATGCGATGCCATGCTATGCATGAATGCAGAAGGGAATGCACGATGTAGTTTCAAATAGTCTGCGTATAGTTTCCATGATGGAAGGATTCTGTTTGCTATTTAACCAATAATCTCATCATAAGTAGGCTATAGGGTTTCAAGTTCCTAGAGTCATGGATCATTCTTAAAAATACCACCATCATAATGAATACTCATTAGAGAATTGATAGGTAAAATATCAAGTGTACTATTTTGCCAATGTAGTAATATGAGGAAAATTCCATGAATATCGATCTCGAGGACTGCGTAGGAAATACAAGCTCTATAATAATTCAGTTGAACAAAAGCACTTGGGGTTTTAAAATTATCTGGTTTAATTATAAAAATATTTGCAAGTAAAAGAGGGAAAGTGACTAAGTGGTTTTAAACAAATATGAGTAACATGCTAGGGGAAGTGTGTGATCCGACTCAGTAACAACTCTGAATTAATACTACAACAACTTACTGTAACTAACTAATTACCGATTTTTTAGAATGTTTACTCTTAAGTCCTTAGTAAGAAAACCTTTAATCATCCACCCTAATTCCTATGTCCATAGAGAATTATAAATGAAATTAAGCAATCAATTATCAAGAATATTCTGGTTCCTATAGGGTACCCTTAGTCCTAGGTGATATCTACTAAGAAATGATCCAAAGCAAAGCATTAACAACGGTGGTCCAACCTAATCGTTAATCGAAAATCAAACCCTGTTAGTCCGACAAGGCAAGCATCGAGAATAGCTAGAGATCAAATCAGGTATGAAAATAAAGGAGTTGTTATTACAATACTAATATCATAGTCATTACAAATTCAAATCAGGGACACCCCTTAACATTGGGGGGTTTAACTACTCATATTATTCGAAGAGAATACAAAGTAAAAACTAGACATTACAAGATAATATGGATTGGTTTAGCACATTAATGTCATTGTTTGAACCTGCAATACCAAAAAATGCATGCCAAATCCATAGGTCTTGTGATGTCACTGCTTCAAGCATGAT